AACACCGAGAGTAGCAAAAACGTTGCACGTCTCTTTCCATTACTGTTTAGACGTCATAATTTATTCGGGTTAATTCTCAGGGCACTGGTGCCCAAAACCAGCAAGGCCGAGAGTATCAGACTTCTCTGTTTGAATTAGTGTGTAGACCGCCACAAAGGGGATCGGTACCTAAAACTAGCGAGGCCGAGGGTATCAAGTAAAAGGTCTGTCGAAACGCTGAACGCCACCGCTCAGTCAGCCACGCATCACGTATGAGACATTACAAGTTCATTTTTCCTTTTGCTTCCTTTCGTCCCCGTTTACCGTACCTAAACAATTATCCATAACACCGTAGTGTATTTGCCCGACTTATATACTTTTGCTACAGTTTCGCACACCTCAGCCGTTTTTCCCATAAACGTCTGAGGTATGTTATCCTAACACTTTATTCTATCATTCAACCTACTTACGTTTACTCTACAGCTAGTACTCATATTACTTTCGACAAGGTCCTTCTCTGTTTTTTAAACTTCCACAAAATCCTCCGGGCAAAGTTTGTGGCGATTGGTCGTTCAAACATTCTCCAACATACGTACAATACATGAAAGGTGAGAGGGCGATCACCGAGACCGGGATCAGACTTTGACCGTGGTATCGATTCATCACCGAATCCTGCCCTACTGAATGCAAAGCTGTTTGGTGGTGTGTGTTTGAATAGCGGGAGAGTGCATCTTCCCAATATGTTTCATCTTTACCCTCCGTGTGGTACTCTCCGTCTTCCTATTTGGGGCGCATAACGCTGCAACGCCTATTGAAAATAGCATAACTCGCATTGAGTTATTCTGTCCTGCACCCAGTGTGAACGCGGGGTCCTTTGTCAAATCTACGGCTCTTGCCAACAGTCTAATACTGTTGATCCGAGTGTCGGGACGTCAATCTGACCGGCCCTAATAGTACAACGAAATAAGGACCACGAGCTACCCGAGCTTGCCGATCCTGCTGACCATTTTAACATCCGCTGCCACGATGTACCGCTTGCCACTCTTTACCACCAAACCTAGTTTTTGGGGTTTATGAAGCATATCGGGATGGACTGAGAACTGATGGGAAAGCAAGGATTTGATGGAAGTCGGTCAGGCTCCCTGATCTTCACCAATTCTAGTGAGCTGCATCAACGTAAGGTAGAACCCGTTTCTAGCTTTACGATCAAGCGGCGAAAAAAAGAACAAATCATCTTCATGAACATTCATCTGACACCTTGTCCCTCCCTTCATCCTACCGCCGGAAGCAATCTCGAGGACCCCGCAAATCGACGGTTCTTCCACCATCCCCAAGGGGTCTTCAACTGGAAAGATTGTTAACGGGTATGGTGCAATTAGAAGACATATGTCGAACGTAGTCTACAATCTCGTTCCCATTGTAACCGCCTTCGACCGCGTTCAACGTTCCACTCCAACGTTTCTTCTCTCATCCACCAAAGTGCGAGATTCAATGTATCTAAAACCAGTGCCGAATGCTGGAGGCGCCACCGACATCTGTGACCGGTTATCATCCGTTGGTTATTCTGATCAAGCGAGGGAAGTCCAAAACTGCACGGTCTTTGATTCGAGCATTATATATTCCGCAAAAGGTCCAGTGGCCTTGACGTCACTCAGACATGCGGTCCTCCAGAAACTTCTGCTGGTTCATTCGTTGGGGTTGAAGCGGATGTGATGGTTATATGGGGGGTGATAATAAAGCGCAAGCGATAGAATGGGAGTTGGGACTAAGGAAGAAGCTTTTTTTAAATGGGAGGGAAGCTCTAGAACCTGAATGCTTACAATATTTGACTGGGAGAGAGATGAATAAAAGTAATGGAAATGATTGTCTATGACAGTTCTTTCTTCTCTGAGTCTGTTTCTTTAGTATCCGTTCCGAGACTATGTGTGATATGCACATTGGAGTGACTACAATACGATGAACATGATTCCGTCTCAGGATAGAGAATTCTGGACTTTCCGAGGAAGGATACAGACATTACTCCCCCAATTATATTTTAATTTATTGCACTGACATCTTGCACAGTTTGCTGTGCAGTTATACCTTAAACTGGATATGGAATGCCCAATGGTTTTGGGGATGAAAATGCCTACAACCTTAGTCCTCAAAAATGTTCTGTCACAGGCAGCATTTTAATGAGTTGAAATAGCTTTAATGGATGGACCTAGAGCAAGATAAAAACAAAGTGTTCAAACTATCATGAAATTATACTTAAAAGGGTAATACCCTTCTGATCCTCAAACAATAAGATCCCCTTCCTCCCAAATGCACACTGCTAGAGACAGCTTTACATGGCAGTGGCTCGATAAGTGCCCTAGTTTCAATGAGACACTAGTAAATCAGCATGTAACGGTGCAACTTACCTGGGGGGTCTCCTCAAATTTCCAGTCAGTAACAGCTATGTGAAAAATATGGTGTGATTGGCAAATGCCTCTGAAAGTCAAAATGTATACTCACGATCCTGAGCATTAAGGTTCACTTTCCAAATGCACTCAGACTCTGGCGGATCATCGAATATGACACCACCCTCTATTTCTCAATCATTAGATATTTCTGGGCCTCCAGTGAAGACATTCAAGCTTACTTTCACAATAAAGGTTCACAAACATCATCAAGTTGGGAGAGAAATCAGTTTCAGCAGTCATCTCAGCACTTCCAAAGTGATGGTTAGTATATGTCTTATACAATCGGGAATGCATATACTCACCCAACATCCCACAGAAATGTGGGTGACAGAGGAAAATCGTTGTTTTGGTCATTCACAGTGCCTATGGAGCATAAGCTGATGATTAAAACAATATTGAGAAAACAGAGTAGTTCATTCTCACCAAGAGCAATGCCCTGAAAGCCACCTGTGCGATTGATAGCCTGGATGGTGTTTCCACCAATTTTAGTGGGCTCAGACCAGAAACGCACTTCTCCATCAAGAGCAAGAGTAGTAGATTGTCCTGGCTGTCGAAAGTATAAGTTTGTCTAAGGATGAGTATGGGGGGACACAGACCTTAATTTTAGTCTACACTTTTGACGGGATGGCAGTGTGATCAAACTATCAATCATGTGAGCAAATTTAACAAGTAGGACGCATGGTACTTACTATTCCTGCAGTAGCGATACCCAAACTTGCAGGATATTCAACCGTGAACCGGTCATCTGAGTTCCCACCGGCTTTGAGTTCAGCTATGCGCCTGGAGATAAACTTAGTACCACTTTATGGGAAGAAGACGTAAGGGAAACCAACCAAGCAAGATAATACCCATCACCAATCTTTCCATTAGTAGGTGCTTGGACTACAAAAACAACTTGCACATCTTTGGTGAGTTGACCAACGTTGAAGGTGAGAGTGCGGCTCATTGTTGCCAAGATGTAGAACCTTTGTGGAGGGTGTGTTGCTCTGATCTGACTGAGAAATAGCACTTCATATGGCTGAGGCCATCTGATATTCTGGGTATCAATCGAAGCTCACAAATCAAATAGAACTGTCATACGCCGATGACCAAATTTGGCAACGCCGAGAGGACGAAACGGCTGCATTTCTTTTTCAATTACCGTCTAGATTGCCATATTTTTATTCAGGTCAATTCTCAGGGCACTGTTGTCCAAAACTAGCAAGGCCGAGGTATCAGAGAAATTATATCAATAAGTTCCCCTTCCGCCTCAGTTGTGGTCTGAACTACCACAGTTTCGTTCAGACAAAGCTGGGGGTAGAATATGTCCTCTCCAATATATCTTTGCTACTTAGTAAGTAGGAGAGATCCAACATACAATAGATGAAAACTGCGAGGGCCCCTTAAAGCACTAGTTTGGACCCGAATTTGATCGTAGTATTCATTCGTCGCCGAATCTTGTCAAGGACTGAATGGAGAGTCTTCGAATGGCACCTGTCCAAAATAACGGGAGAACGTACCTCCTCAATATGTTCCCCAACTGTTCTCAAAATCACACTCTTACTTATAAGCTCTCACCCAGAACGTAAGTCTCATTTAGCTTTCTTCTGAAATTCAAATCGACCTTAGCCTAGACTAGAAAATTGTGACATCAGGCATAACGGCAGAAGATTGCTGCAGTGCAGAGATCCCCAACACAGTTATCCCCCTGACCACCATCAGTGAACACAATGCTGGAATCTTCCGATAACTCTTATTCTATGCCTCCATTTCATAAAGTGTTAATCTCGGAACCATGGCTCTAGCTCCGGCAACTCCTCCAGAAATGCATTCCGAAAGCATTCCGAGGTTGTTTTTGAGTCAGCCTTTGCAAGTATAGGGTAATGGTCATTACCCCTAATGCTCTATGAGGTTGAGAGGTGGATACGGTGTATGCCACGTTCTGCTGCTATATTTGAAATACAAACTGATTATTCACTGATAGGATTGTTGCTACTGTACTGTTGTTTCTGCTGCTCCTGCCGCGACGGGGGAGGTTTCTGGTGACTGGTCAATCAGAGGCATCTATGCTCGCCGGGATCGGCAACCTCCTAGGAATAATTAGGGATCACGGTTGGTCTCAAGTTATTTTAAGGTACTATAAGAGCATGAAGTTTAGAAGGGAGAATAGTGTGTTTCAAGTGGTTTAAAGAGTTACAAAATAATAAACAATAAATACATGAGATAGCTGTGCATGTTGAATTTGAGAAACAGAAAGTTTAGAATTCATCAGACGCTGTTTCCACTACTCATTAGTGCTTTCAAAAAAGCTTGGCTGCTTGCCGTGTAGACAGTGTGCCTTCCCAATCATCCGATTTTTATCATTTTTTTTTGAATCTATCCAAGGGTTCTCTAAAAAAATCCAATTCGCGCGCGCGAGCCATCATCAAAGTTGGCCGCCGTCCGTCAGGGTTTATTGACCCTCATCCGGTGTTCGCAAAAAAAAAAAAGTGGAGAAACAGATTAGACGAAGATGGTAGTTAAACAGAAAAAGAGTTCTGATGCAATGCTCCTCGCTGGTACCTGAAAAAAAAAAAACTACTTTCTTCGTGCCATAACTGCATTAAGAGGGAATCGAACCCCCGGCGGGTCGATATCTAATATAGACACCCATTGTGGCAACGACCCAGGTTACCACTACCCCATTAATGCCGGTGGATAATCTCATGCAAACGGTATCTATAGTTAGATCGGTGGACATGTGACCGAGAAAGGTCCAATTGAAGTAGTACTTATTATTTTAGTCTTGCAGTACGAGAGGCAGAGGAAATCCAATTGAGGTATGATATTAATATTGTTCTGAAGTACGAGAGGGAGAGTACGACCAGGCTTGAGCCAGTTTTGTAGCGAGGTTCGTGGTACAGCTGATATATCTACCACACGGTCGAAGAGAGTGGGAAGTGACCCCAATTGACAGTTGTGGTCTTTTCGCGTTAGTTTGAATGAAGGGATGAGACAGTGGTTTTTTTTTGTCATTGCTTCCCTTCTTTCTCCCGTGACCCGCCGGAGGTGATACGAGAAAATGATATGCTTGTAAAGGTATGTTGTCTGATATATGTATATGTCATTGGCGGAGAAGCTAAATGACTCCCAACGGAATGATTTGTGGATGTTCTTGGGAGAAATCCGAGTCGGCAATGTAGAGGCTTTGAAACGCCCTTGGAGAGTGATGATAGGATCAGAACTTGCTTTAATTATAAGCGCAACGATGAAATGGAAGGGTGAGTTCATATGAACCAGGATTATCGGGATGATAGCTGTGGCCGAATCAGCGACACAGACCAGGAATATAAAAGCCTCGAGAGTTGGACGAACCGTGCGCTTATGGATGGAAGATGGAATCATAGCCGGTGGAGTCAGACTTGTACAAGTCCGGTCAATTCTCGGAGACGGTGCCGAAATGAATGCACGGGGATGTCGGACAAAGAAGTGCAAACAGCTGACGAACGCGTCACTCAATCATGATCACGGAAGCCGCGCTGTTCTTTGAGTTTCGACGACCATCACCTCGTTGTTTCCCCTTTCATCTCACCTCTTTTTCTTCACTTTCCCCCCTTATGCTACCGCTCTTCAATGGCCCAGAAGATACAAGGCGAAGACAGATCAACCTTGGCGGGAAATCTACGACCAATACAGCACAATCGACGTTGGAATCCGCGAAGGCTCGTAGAAATGAAAGGATAGAGCATAGACGACGGGTGGATGCCGCTATTCGACTTCAGGCATGGTGGCGAGGAGAAGTTGAAAGGAGGAGGATAAGAAGGAGATTTAGCCGAGAGATTGAGGAGGGATTAGCTGGAGATTTATTGGAGATCGAAATCGTTAGAAGGGTGTGCTTTGTCGGGAAAAGGAATTTGGATGAAAATGGGAGATTAGTATTGGGGAAATGGAGTCAAGGCGTTGTTGAAAGAGACTTTGGTGAGCAGAAAATCTTTGTTGAAAGACTGTTTTTAATCTTTTCTTTGTTCAGATCGGGTATCGACTCTTTCACCGACCAACCTCAGCGTTCTTACAACAATTCTCCTTTCATTAGTCTCAAAAGACGTTAATTCACCATTATCAACATTTCACATCACTCTTCTAACAAAACTGACCTCGCTTTCAACGATGCCCCCCAACTCAGATTTCTATTGTCTCCTTTCAATCTCGATACGCGAAGTATCAAAATCATCTCCCATTCTTCCAAACTTAATAACCCTCCTCTTCTCGCCACGAACCTCGGATCAAACCATTTCTTATCTCCTCACTCTTGTCCTCACCATCCCTTTGTTACCAAACCGACTTCCTCTTCAAACATTAACTGCGTTCTCAGCTTCCCTTCCACTTGCCCAGTTAACGCCGCGGAACGTCCAAGACATCGCTTCAACTCTCCTCACCACCGAAGATCGCATTCACCTCCTCTCCAACCTTCTCGCTTTCACCTCACCACGCTACACCAAACTCCCAAAATCAGCATTAGCAGCTTACCTCAAACTCGTTGCAGACATCCTTTACCTTTTACCCGTCAACATCTTCGACCCAGAAGCTCAAAAACGATCTCGAGATGAACCCGAAGACGACGATATGAATGAAATTCGAGTCACCGTTGTCGATTCGTTTGATGTTCCTCTTCACGCTCCCCTGCCAACAGTGGACGCAAAGACGCTGAAGCGCATTCAAACTCTCGTTTCTCCGACTCACATCGCTTCGCTACTCTCCACCACCGCTTCTACCTCGAGCGAGAGGTATCAGCTCTTTCGTGTTCTCGGTGGAATATTCCACGTATGGCCTGGTAAAAAAGACAGTGTCGGTTCGTTAATTTGGAACACTTCCTCTGGTCAAGTGGGAGGGATCGTGAAAGAGCTTTGGAGAGGGTACGTTCGGTCGAGTGGGTTGGGTAGGGAAACTGCTTCGACCTCTGCTTTTCCGATTTCGTCCGGTGGTGAGAGTGGAGGCGGTGGAGGTGGGGTATATGAAACGTTGATCCCTGTCGTGGGACAACAACAACCCCGATTGTTGGGACCGAGGGAACCTTCCGAGGTAGAAGATCTGGATCCGTGGCCTGTTTTGTTGTTGCTTGCGGAGATTTATACTCAGGCGTTGGGTACGATGGGGGATGACGAGTTTTTCGGTACCAGCGGTGGAGACGTGACGGCTAAAGGTGGTCTGAGAACCGGTGTGACGAAAACGAGTAATCCTCTATCGATAGACGACCTAACTCTACTTTCGAGAAACGTGTTGAACATCGTTTGGGTGTTGTACGTGTATCCACCACCGACGTTACGTTTTTCCTCGACTCCCACGTTGTCGTGGACCTCCATACGTACCACACTCGTTCGATTGCTTCGTGCCGTTCATGCTAGAGACGCGCGAAGGTCGTTTGTTCCCAGTACACATTGGATAAAGCTCCGTGGTGGAGAGGAAGGTTGGAATGCGTTTGTGGAAGCTGCGTTGGTGGAAGAGGAGCGGTTGCGGATTTTGGATTCTTCGGATGTGTATAACGCTGGGAATTCTGCTATGGATGTGGATCTCGAGTATGAAGGTGACGAAGACGATTCGTATTTCTTCCGTCCTCTTCGTGCTCAACCGCCACCACCACCACCTGCTCAGACAACGATGGGACGGATGAGGGAACAGAGGAAATATGAGAGGTTGGCGAAGCATCAAAGGATTTTGGAGGATATACCGTTTGCTGTACCGTTTGAGTTGAGGGTTAGGGTGTTTAGGTCTTATGTTTTGCTTGATCAGGTTATGAGGAGGGAACGTGTGGGTGGAGGTGGTGGGGGTAGTGTGGTTGGTAGGATTCAGGTGCGCCTGTTCTTTTTCTTTCGGTTTTTTTTTTTTTGGGAAGTAACGTTCTCCCACAGGCTCTTGCCAATAACAACAATTTCATTCGGTATCCCGGACAGCGGAGGAACAGAGTCGAAATTCGAAGGAACCATTTAGCTGAGGATGGATTTGACAAACTTGGAAATTCTCAAGTTATCGATTTGAAAGATCCTGTTGAAGTTGTGTTTCGGGATCAGTGGGGTGAAGAAGAGTTAGTCGCCGTCGTTCCTTTTTTCATCATCCATACGAAGAACTGAACATTTTTCGATCCTCTTTTTCAGGGCAGGGATTGATGGAGGAGGACTGTTTAAAGAGTTTTTTACGTCGTTATCAAAGGAAGCGTTCGATTTGGGAAGGGGGTTGTGGAACGTTAATAAGGAAGGAGAGTTGTATCCTAGAGCTGGTGGATGGAGTGAAGAATGTAAGTTTTTCCTCCTTCCCGTAAGAACTCTACGTCCTCAACCTCTGCGACAGCCCACTCCCTGGCGTGGTACCGCTTCATCGGAAAAATTCTCGGAAAAGCTCTATACGACGGAATCCTCGTCGACGTCGTGTTTGCTTCCTTTTTCTTGGCCAAATGGTTACGAACCCAGAGTCCTACGTTTTTCGATGATTTGAGGAGCTTGGATGAAGAGCTCTGGAACGGCTTGGTGTTTTTGAAGCGCTTGGAGACAGAGGGGGAAGTGGAGTCGTTGGGGTTGAGGTTTTGTGTTGATGTGGAAGAGTTTGGAGTGAGTAGGACGGTCGATCTTGTTCCTGATGGGTCTGGAGTTGCGGTTACGAAGGAGAATCGGTTGCAGGTTCGTTGGGGGTTTTTTCCCCGTTCGTTTCGTTTGCTGAACATCGCATATTCTTTTTTCTAGTACATCTACCTCCTCGCACATTTTAAACTATCGAAACAGATTCGAAAACAGAGTTTAGCGTTTTTTGAAGGTGTTGGTGAGGTCATTGAGGAGCGGTGGATACGGTACGTTTCTCCCTATGACCTTTTTTCAAACGTCGTCCTGACCACACCTCACGCACAGGATGTTCACACCAAAAGAACTATCTCACCTCCTCGGTGGCTCTTCTCAACCTGTCGATATCGAAGATTTGAGGAAACATACGGTCTATGGCGGATTGTATGATGATAAGAGTCCGATTATCAACGCGTTTTGGGATGTACGTGCCTGTCGTTGTCTTTTTTCGCTCTTCCGCTCATGACTCTTTTTAGGTCGTCAACGGATTCACAGAAGACCAACGTCGTTCGTTGTTACGATTCGTGACTAGTTGTTCTAGGCCTCCATTGCTGTACGTTTCCCTTCCCCCCCTTTTTTTGTCCGGGTCTCATTGACCGGATTTTTGGGGTGCATGACACAGTGGTTTCAAGGAACTCTTTCCCCAATTCGCTATTAGAGACGCAGGAGAAGATCAAAATCGGCTGCCTACGGCTAGTACGTGTGTAAACTTGTTGAAGGTGTGTGTTTTTTTTTTTCGTGTTGTGGCGTTGAGCTGACTGCTGAGAAACCAGTTACCGAGGTATGGCTCGTCGACGGTGTTGAGACAAAAGTTGTTACAGGCGATCAATTCTGGTGCTGGGTTCGATTTGTCTTGATAGATTTTTCGACGGGATGTTTTTTTTTTCTCTTTTTTGTGTGGTTTTATAGACAACGTATGAGTACTCGCATTTTTTGCATCCCCATGGTTCCTTCCGTCGAATTTCTTTTGATAGTCGTTGTATCGTCTGTTTTCGCATATGTATGTTGTAATTCACAATGTTGTTTCCGTCGTCAGGCAGATTCGCTGCCTTGCTTCCAAAGCCGGGGATATTTTTTTTCTTTGAATAGGTTCACTGATGCGGTCCATGTCGGTCCCGGGTGGTCAATATCGATTTTGGAGCGTTGAGCTCTAAAGTTGTACCTTTTGGTTATCTTTGATAGCTATAATATTGCGTATTTTTGCGCACCATCAACGGAGAGACGTCTGTATCAGGAGGAATTTTTTGCGTGGGCTGGTTATGTGGTTATTGAAGACAAGTATTGCCATCGGGGGGTATAGCTCAGCTGGGAGAGCAGCAGACTGAAGTCACATGTTTCCGCTGATTCTGAAGGTCCCGCGTTCGATCCGCGGTACCCCCATTTTTGTTGTTCATCAATTTGTTTTTGCTTTTTTGGTGCAGATAGCTATTACATTCCTGTAGCGGCGTCCCTGCTGACGCCAATTCCCGCCTCTCCCCACCTCTCAGTCGAGCCACACTGATCATGGATAAAGCCTTTTGGGCCCGATGATGTAAGACTGAGTTTGGAACGTGTATCATAGTCCCCCCTACACATTCATCTACTCTAAACTGCAAATGTCAACATTAAAAGTACTTTCACACATTTCCCTCAGTTATGATAGCTGATACTGGGCATCTGTTTGTACATCTCTCATGGTAACAGCTTCCAAGAATAACACAAACTCATTTTGAGTGGTCAGGATCCAATTGGACCCCACTTGTAATATTACATTGGGGTTTTTCCTCAAAATGAACAAACACTGATTTATGCAAACCAAGGGAGCCCATGGATTTGAATCCCTGACCAGGGATAGGAGGGGGGGGTCCTCTTCCTGGCCAAAAAAAATGGGCATGTAGATTTTGAAGACCAGAAAAAAAGAACAGGCAGAGAGTGCAGGTAGGTGCAGACTTGAGAGCATGTAAGAACAGATCAAGATCAAGGTAAGAACAGGATAGAGAACAGATAACAAACCCATAAGTTCAGGTTCAGTTCTGGCCAGATATGTTGGGTGTATTGTTGGCCACATCGCCGTCGCCAGTCATGAATTCTGAAATGCAAGCTTGCCAATATCATTGCCAAGGTGACTTCTGCTGCCCAGATAGTATTTTGCTGATTATTCCTAAGCAAATTGATGGTATTAAAGAATTTCTGGCGGAATGCTGTTGCGAGTGACAAATTTTCCTTTTTTTTTTTTGGAAATAAACACTTCCTTGGGGAGTAAGACCATGAGTATAAACAGGTGCAATGGTGTCCTAGAAGAGGATGAAACAACCTGAGGAAAGAAAAATCCTTGAAGGAGGTTAACGAGCAAATGTAAGGTGTAAGAGAGTCCTGAGGACACGAAGAATCTAGAGAGGGAGAGAGAGACTTTATATACAACACGGATTGTGGCTTGTGGCATTGACACCAGCCTTGCCATCGAGACTAACAGTGGCAGGTATTGTTGAGTTGAGGCTGAGACAACTAAAGTGCATGTCTCGTCTGCATAGACCCCGGTCAAACTTGTTTGACCATCTCATTATGCATTTCTCTCCCAATTTTGGCCACTTTCCTTAATTTCCATATGGTTCAAATGGCGCAATTAATCTCTATTGTAGAATGTCATTTTTATTATGAAACATTTAGTCTGGAACCTTGGAATCAATGGAGCTATACTTACAGGCTTGGCAAGCTTCAGGCCACATTTTTTCACCCAGTTTTTAGCTGTTTCCCTTGATTTTTGTACCATGTCAATGGTGTATTGTAGCTACTGTCCTATGTAGTTTCTATCTCCAAGTGCTTACTTTGGGACTTGAAAAGATGACAGATGAATGGTTTTCTGGTAGAAGTATTGATGGGAGAGGTCCGGTTTTGACAAGGGCTGAAGCCTGAAGAGCCAGTTTGTAGTAGAATAGACAGATTGTTAATGATTATGTAGTGCATGGAGTTTCTCTTTCTCAGCTTGCACCCCCTTTGGTTGAAGGGCCAGTTTTTAAAGGGGAGAACTGAAGAGAGAGCTCACATTTCAATTGGAAACTACTTCTGATCATAACTCAAGGTCAAGAGTGGGTCGGTAACAATGGCAGGAGCAAGGGATTCAACAATCAACCATGGTCTAAACACTCAACACTGCAACTGGAAAACAAGAAGCTAGAGTACCCCCAGAGAGGATCAGCAGTGAATATTTTATGGTGAATAGATACAGAAGGTATGAATTGATAAGTTTTGCCTGGGATCATGGAGATTTCCAGCACTGAGGACAGACTATATACTAGGGCAAGTGAGGATGCGAGACATCCATTTCCCTGAAGGGAGGTCCAGTCTAGCTTCAGCAGGGCTGAGAATACCATTTAAATGTCTAGGGCAGGAAGAGGATCTGGTATGTTTATTTTTGGGGGAGCAAGGTGCAATATGTTGTTCAGAGTGTTTATGATGTAAAGAATGGCTCTTGAATGCCCAATATCCAATAGTGAAAGGTAGGTGACATATGACTGAGCAGAGGCCCTGGGATAGAGGAAATTCTAAGCTTAGACTGAGTTCAAATATTCCAAGTCCAAGCTTGAGCTGATGCTCCAGCTGAATTGAGCATGATCACATCCTGATCAAGGTCGCATTCGTCACATCACAGACATAATCTCATGTACCTTCCCTTCTGTGTGGAAAGCTTAGTCAATTTATGCTATACAAGCAGAAACATGGTCCTGTCTTGAGTATGGCCAAACAGGAGTGAGTGAAACTAGTAGTTAGCAGTCATGATCCTGCTTATACAAATTGAAGTAAGAGTTTGGTACTTTTTCTCAGAATGCTGAATTCACTTATTGGCCTATTTTGCGAGGGAAATCCCAATTTCATGCTCACCTGCTGCCACCTGCTGCCACCTGAGCTCCCCTTATAATGGCACTTGCAACCAGAATTACTCCCTTTTCCATGAAATCAATGCAGGACATTGATGAAAAAGGTCTCTAAACAGAGTGGTCTGAATCCCGGTCTTCAGTAAGAATGCCCGGGGCAAAACCCGGCTGTAGGACGGTCCGAGCAACCTCAGGGAGTCAAGCGCTGTCTGAGCACCCACAACAAGCTTCCGGACCCGCGGCAACTCTGGGCCGTGGATCCCAGTGGAATGTAATCTATGTCAATATCTAGGTTTCAACATACATTTCTTTGCTTTCCATAGCAAAGTACTCATTCAGTGATGAAGTGTGATCTCTGATATAGATTTAATTGCTGTGATATGTAGAACTCAAAATGAAATAGATATGAGATTGTCCAGGCTCTGTGCGCGATATGAAAATCACCACATATATGTAGATTATTTTTTCGTGGTTTGGAACAGCATACACCTGAGTAATGTTAGAATCTTAATATTACTTCAGTAAGTTAACTTACAGTTCCATGTGCTACCTATGCATTTGTTACTATCCTTTCACATTTCCCGTACATACACACATGTTACTCCATCTTTCAATTTTGATTTCAGGCACTGCCATATGCAGTTAAACCTCCTCCCACCTATTGCTTATCACACTGGGTACATTTGGTACTAGTTCCCTTCATCTGCCTTGAAATACTTGATTCTAGTATTGAGGATATACCTACTGGCTAAGAAATGCTATCCTCACTTCTCTATAAGGTGGAGAGCCCTGGCCATTATTACATGAGAGGTGAAGATCTTATTGTTTAACTTACTGGTAGTCTGACAACAATACTGGTTTTATCATCTTCACGGAAAGTGAGGATCTATTGATTACTTTAGAGGGGAAGAGGTGAAAGTTTCATTTCTGCTTCCGCCACTTGTCCAAGAGGACCATCGTCATTCAACCCCAATGAGAAATGAGTTGATAATCACTGATACTGGCCACTTGATCCTTAGCCTATCAGTATGTACCAGTATATATCATTGAATGAGAAGGCAGTTGTTACTGGCTGATACCAGCAGATTCAAACCGCGATATACTATTTACTGTGCCCATTTCGTTTGGACCAGGGAATCTGACTGCACTTGATACTATCCAAATCATGGCGGATACTAGTCAATATCTACGTCTAACGATTCACGCAATTTTTTGGCAAGTCAGCAGCATTTGGAACTTATTCATCGGATGTACATCACTGAGCAGTCCCGACTACAGTCACTCCTCAGTGTTACCCACAACGGATCAGTTCGCGTCTTCATAGGATACAGAGGTCGATCTAACTGTTTCCTCTGACAGCAATTCCACCAGCAGTTTTCCTGAAATCAAGTACTCCAATTTGTAATTGGACCGTGTTATGATTATGAGGTACTTCTCTGGTATCTCCATAACACGGTTACAGACTGTCTCAGAGGCAAACCGTAAATTCCTATTGCTCAAACGTTTGAATTTTACAGCGGAAAGTCCAATTCGAGACTTGAGACCTTTGACTGATACGGGAGTTTATAAACTCAGGCAAAAGAAAATAACTAGGCAAAGATGATTAAAAGAGGTAATGTATAAAATAGGTTTGCGGTACGGAAGGTTTGTAAAACCGCGGGATTATTCGATTTACGCTCCACCAAGCAAAGAGGCACGCTCCTCATCATGTAAGGCGGTAGCCCCTTTGTATCTCCTCGACAACCGAAAGACACCCATTATAACCCATGCAAGGGCAAGAATGGCAAACGCGAGTGCGGACCAATAAATGAGCGGGTCCAAGTTCCTTTGCTGGACAAAAATGGCCCAAAGCGACCACGCAATGGCGAATGAACCGGGAAGATCGCCGTCGGGAGTGGAGAAGGTGTATGTAGCTGCGGTGCCCTCCAAGAAGAACCTATGAAAGCACAGCTGCAAATCAGCACAACTCATGGTTTTGAATAGGGAGAACGGCGAAGTATACTTACAATCCCAAGAATACAAGGTGTTTGGTCCACACTCCAGGGGGGTGGTCGACTGCGTTAATGCCGAATGCTTCGAATGCGTTGAGGACAACGAGGACAGTCGTCCAGCCGTGATAAAGCGAGAATGGGATATGGATGAACAGCTCATCGGCAGTTTGATGAGGACCGTGGTGTTTCCTCACAATGTAATAGATTTGGGTGACAGTTGAGAAAAAAAACAATGCAAAGACGAATGCGACAATGTAATCGTGCTCCGCCCAAACGTGGATGTAGATGGCGTTCAGAATAGAAAGGAAAGGGAATCTCCAAGATATACCATCAACGATAATGTGTTTCCCAGCTGGGAAGAATTGGTAGATGACCGTGCCGAGGAGTAGGATGTGAATGACGATCCATATGAGGAATGCCCAGGGGGCAGGGGTAATGTAGGTTAACTTGGGGTTGTAGTAGCTTCCAGTCGGAAAAGTGAGGGTGTATATGTTTGAAGCCAGGAATAGGAGGTAACAGATAAGGTTGATAATTTTAAGGAGAAGACCGTCTGTCCAGCTGTGAGCCATGATGGTGGGTAAGGAAATGACGATGTCCGGGGGGGGGCGCGGCATGAGTCTTTTTAAATTACCCACTTCAAACCGGGCGCTAGGGCAAAGCGATTAACGCAAGAAATGGCACTGCTCAGCTGTCACATCGTTCACGTAAAGCACGATGCACACTTAATTGTCTTGTTCCTCTGACCCCACGCCGCAAGGAGTTCCAAGCAGTTTGGCCATTCAAAAGTCAGGTTGAAATCCAGGGTGGCCAGGAATACGATTACCTACCCCGTCCCTTTGACGACTATCAAGGACCGAAAAAGAGGCGGCCCCGATGGTTGTACTTTCATTCTCCATTACCAGGGGAAGGGGTAGGTGTAAACGATATCTTTGTAGCCCGAATGAACATTTGTCTGTCATCGACCTGTTCCCGAGTGATTGCCACGGACCTCGGTCACGGAGGTTTACATGTGCCGGACACATAGCAAGGTACAATTAAATTTGCGAATCTTGAAGCACCCTTCATCGGCGTCCACATCCAAAGATAAGTATCTGGTGAAATTCAAATAGGGTCATTCAAACCAGAGGCCAAGTCCGTTGTTGCGGGGGGGAACCTCTGTTTTTTCGCTTGCCTCACTCGGATGAGGTCTCATATGTATGTCGTCTGTGCAGTGTTGAGCTGAAATCCTCGCATTTTCAATAGCCGTTGCAGTGTTTTGGGCCCAGAATAAGAGGACGGAGAGTACCGCACGGAGGTCAATTTTTTTTCCAACAGTGCGGACGGAAATATCGAGAAGGTACATTCTCCCGCAATCTCAGACACGCCACCCAAGGGCTTTCATTCAGTCGACGAGATCGGTACCATGGTCAAACTCGGGTCCCGATACGGTTGTTGGAGAATGATTGAAGGTACAGATAGGCACCATTTTCGCCTGAAAGAAATTGTGGAAGTTTAGACTACCCTCGGCCTTGCTAGTTTGGGTATCAAGTAAATCTCCAGCTAATCCCTCAATCTCTCGGCAAAATCTCTTTCTAATCCTCCTCATTTCAGATTATCCTCGCCACCATGCCACTCGTCGCCTATGCTCTATCCTTTCATTCCTACGAGCCTTTGCCGATTCCAACGTCGACTGCGCTGTATTAGTGGTAAATTTCCCGCCAAGGTTGGTCTGTCTTCGCCTTGTATCTTCTGGTTCGAATAGCGGTAACATACGGAAAAAGTGAAGAAAAAGAGATGAGATGAAGGGGGAAACAAAGAGGTGATGGTCGTCGAAGCTCAAAGAACAGCGCGGCTTCCGTGATCACGATTGATTGACGCGTTCGTAAGCTATTTGGATTTGCTTGTCGACAGTCCCCGATATCCCCGTGCATTCATTTCGGCACCGTCTCCGGGAATTGATCATAACTGGCTCCGACGGCCATGGTTCCATCTCATCCATAATTCGTCGTTCACGCGCACGGTTCTTCCAACTCTTGCGGCTTTTATATTCCGAGTCGTGTCGCTGATGTGGCTACAACTATGAACCCCGATAATCCTGGTTCATGTTGATTTACCCTGCCATTTCATCGTTGCGTTTATAATTAAGGCAAGTCCTACCATAATCAAAGAGTATTTGCACAGTTGAGAATGAAATTTTTAGCTGGGTAGAAATTTCTGTTTTTACATCAAGTTCGAGATTTGCCCGTTACGTTATGAAAATTTGGATGTTATGTAACAAAAATTTACAGTCAAAGTTCTCATCGACGCTTCTGGGTGCCGAAAGACGGCTGCATATCGTTGAAGTGCAGAAGCAATGGTTGCATTGGATGCTAACGTTGAAGGGAGCCTTCAAGTTAGGGCCACTAGCAGTAGCAACGGATATAAAATTTTCTGCTCAGTTTCTCTTACAACAAATCAAATCATTGAATGCCCACAGCAGAAGGTAAACCATCGATTCCATGCTACCTTCAGCTTTAGATGGGCGTTATGACGTGGCATGGCCGTTCTGATAATTTCACAGTTACGTTATAAAAATATGGCTCATGGAGGCTGAAATTTTGGACGTCGTTTTGGACATGGTGGAGCTTCGGATTTACATTACGGCACCCACTTGAGAGTGTGCAAATTACTCTCTATTCTCCAAGGGCGTTTTGCGAGACTCCGTTTGGGGACATAGCTTCCCCGCCAACGATATTATATATCGGTGGGGGATACACCAGCTCTACAAATCTCGCACCAAAACTGGCTTCAAAGACGATGTACTCTGCCTCTCGTACTGCAAGACTACTACTTCCACTTTCTCATGTCCGGCGGTCTAGCTATATAAAACGTTTGAATGCAGATGTTCGACGGGCATTAATAGGGTAATGGTAACCTGGGTCGTTGCCATAAGGATAAGACGGATCAGGTCCTCTTTCGACCCGCCGGAGATTCGATTCCCTCTCAATGCATTGTTGGCGTCAATTACCAGCGGGGAGCATTGCATCAGAGCTCTTTATCTGTTTATCTCACTTCGTTTTTGTTTGGAGGGGAATTTCACCATGTTTTTGTTTTTTTTCTGCGATTATTGGAACAGGGCCAACAATACCTGACGGGGGGCGAAGGTTGGATGGCTCGTAGGATTGGATGGAAACCCTCGGACAGATATGAAAAGATATGGAAAAAAGGATAAGAACTCGGATAAATAGGAAGACACACTTTTTGTTCGTCGCACGCGGCAGTTTCGCCAAGTTTTTATTTGGAAACAGTAATAATTTAAACAGCATTCGATGGTTTTTAAATCTTCTGTTTCTCGAATTCAACATGCACGGCCATCTCCTATATCATTGTTTATTATTTTGTAACTCTTGGAACACACTATATGAGGAAAATCTGCCTTCTAAGCTTCATGCCCTGGACACAAGAGGGGTATATAGTACCTTGAAATGACTTTTAGACCAACCGTGATCCCTAATTATTCCCAGGAGGTGGCCGATCCCGGCGAGCATAGATGGGTGTGATTGACCAGTCACCAGCACCTCCCTCGTCGCGGCAGGAACAGCAGAAAACAACAACAGCAACAATCCTCTCAGTGAACAATCAGATTGTGGTTCAAATATAGCAGTAGAAAGTGGCATCCACCGCATCCACCTCCCAACCTCAAGGGCTTTCACCGGATAGAGCACTAGGGGTAATGACCATCACCCGATACTTGCAAAGGCTGACTCAAAAATGACCTCGGAATGCTTTCGCAATGCATTTCTGGAGGAGTTGCCGGAGCTAGAGCCAGGGTTCTGAGATTCACACTTTATAAAATGTAGGCATAGAATAAGACTTATCGGGAGATTCCAGCATTTGTGTTCATTGATGGTGGTGAGGGAGATGACTGTGTTGGGGATCTCTGTACTGCAGCAATCTTCTGCCGTTATGACTGATGTTGTGATTTCCCAGTCTAGGGTAAGGTCACTTTGAATTCAGAGGAAAGCTGAATGAGACTTACATTCTGGGTGAGAGGTCTTGGCAGTTATGAGTAAGTAAGAGTGTGATTTTGAAAACAGTTGGGGTGGAACGTATCGAGAAGGTACGTTCTCCCGCTATTTTAGACAGGTGCCAACAGAAGACTCTCCATTCAGGATTGGGGAAGGGGATCTTTTTGATATACTTCCCCTGATACCCACGGCCTTGCTAGTTTTGGACATCAGTGCCCTGACAATTGACCCGAATGAAAATGTAGCAATCTAGATGGTAATTGAAAGAGAAATGCAGCGTTTTTGTACTCTCGGCGTTGCCAAACTTGGTCATCGGCGTACAACGGCTCTACTCGATTTGTGAGCTTGAATTGATACCCCAAGATATCAGACGACCTCAGGGCTGTTTCTCAGTCGGATCAGAGCAACACAATCTCCACAAAGCTCTACATCTTGGCGACAATGAGCCTCACTCTCACCTTCAACGCTCGTCAACTCACCAAAGATGTGCAAGTAGAGGACATATTCTACCCCCAGCTTTGTCTGAACGAAACTGTGGTAGTTCAGACCACAACTGAGGGGGAAGGGGAACTTATTGATATAATTTCTCTGATACCCTCGGCCTTGTTAGTTTTGGACAACAGTGCCCTGAGAATTGACCTGAATAAAAATATGGCAATCTAGACGGTAATTGAAAAAGAAATGCAGCCGTTTCGTCCTCTCGGCGTTGCCAAATTTGGTCATCGGCGTATGACAGCTCTATTCGATTTGTGAGCTTCGATTGATACCCCATAATATCAGATGGCCTCAGCTATATAAGGTGCTATTTCTCAGTCAGATCAGAACAACATACCCTCCACAAAGGTTCTACATCTTGGCAACAATGAGCCGCACTCTCACCTTCAACGTTGGTCAACTCACCAAAGATGTGCAAGTTGTTTTCGTAGTCCAAGCACCTACTAATGCAAAGATTGGTGATGATGGGTATTATATTGCTTGGTTGGTTCCCCTTACGTCTTCTTCCCATAAAGTGGTACTAAGTTTATCTCCAGGCGCATAGCTGAACTCAAAGCCGGTGGAAATTCAGATGACCGGTTCACGGTTGAATATCCTGCAAGTTTGGGTATCGCTACTGCAGGAATAGTAAGTACCATGCGTCCCGCTTGTTAAATTTGCTCACATGATTGATAGTTTGATCACACTGCCCTCCCGTCAGAAGTGTGGACTAAAATTAAGGTCTGTGTCCCCCCATACTCATCCTCAGACAAACTTATACTTTTGACAGCCAGGACAATCTACTACTCTTGCTCTTGATGGAGAAGTGTGTTTCTGGTCTGAGCCCACTGAAATTGGTGGAAACACCATCCAGGCTATCAATCGCACAGGTGGCTTTCAGGGCATTGCTCTTGGTGAGAATGAACTACTCTGTTTTCTCAATATTGTTTTAATCATCAGCTTATGCTCCATAGGTACTGTGGATGCCCAAATTGACTCCTTTCTACGACCCACATTTCTGTGGAATGTTGGGTGAGTATATGCATTCCCGATTGTATAAGACATATACTAACCATCACTTTGGAAGTGCTGAGATGACTGCTGAAACTGATTTCTCTCCCAACTTGATGATGTTTGTGAACCTTGATTGTGAAAGTGAGCTTGAATGTCTTCACTAGAGGCCCAGAAATATCTAATGATTGAAAAGTGCAGGGTAGTGTCATATTCGGTAATCTGCCAGAGTCTATGTGCATTTGGAAAGTGAACCTTAATGCTCAGGATCGTGAGTATACATTTTGACTTTCAGAGACCTTCGCCAATCACAACATATTTCTCACATAGCTGTTACCCACTGGAACTTTGAGGAGACCCCCAAAGTAAGTTGCACCGTTACCTGCTGATTTACTAGTGTCTCATTCAAACTAGGGCACTTATCGAGTCACCACCATGTAAAGCTGGTTCTAGCAGTGTGCATTTGGGAGGGAAGGGGGTATTATTGTTTGAGGATCAGAAGGGTATTACCCTTTTAAGTAGATTTTTTTGTGATAGTTTTATTTTTACCCTGCTCTCCATTGGAGCTATTTTAACTCATTGATATGCTGCCTGCTACCAAATATTTCTGTGTTGTTGAAGGTGGTAGGCATTATCATCTCCAAAACCATTTGGCATTCCATGCCCAGTGTAATAAATTGGAAGTAGGTATAACTGCACAAAATGGCAGTGCAAGAAATCGAAATATAATTGAGGGAGTAAACATCTGTCGGCCCACACCATCTTTCCTTTTCCTTCCTCGGAAAATCAAAATTTCTTCATTCTGAGATGGAATCATGTTCATCATACCATAGTCACCATGCATATTACACATAGTCTCTGAATGGATACTGAAGAAACAAACTCAGACAAGAAAGAACCTGTCATCGATAACCATTCTCATTACTTGACAATTATTCATCTCCCTCCCATTAAAAGTCTTCTTCCTCAGTCCCCAAATCCTACTTCCTGGGCGCACTCTCCCTCTCGTACTTCAGAACAATTTGTACCTCAATTGAATTTCTCCAGTCACATGTCCGGTGATTTAGGTAGAGATACTGTTTGTATCAAATTGATCACAGGCATTAATGGGTAGTGGTGACCTGGGTTGTTGCCAGGTGGTCCTAATCAACCAGGGGTTTGATTCCCTCTTAATGCATTTCCCAACCCTTTGGGTTCTTTTTGGTCTTAAGGAATGAATGTACACTTACCCTGTCCATCTCACTTAAATATCTTTAACCATAGCCTTTTCCAGATCAGGCCCCACCAATAATCCCTGATGGAGGCCGAAAGTTTGAATGGAGGCTCGTGAGTTGGAGTTTTGTGAAGAATCTCGGAACAGACAAAAAGGATAAGAAATCGGATTGATGGGAAGACACCCTTTTCATCATCCATGGCATTCCGCCAAGTTCTTTTGAAAACAGTGGTATCTTAAACAACATCGGGTGGATTCTATGCTGGCTATTTTTCAAATTCAACATGCAAAACTATCTCATATTTTTTGTGATCCCAAGCTTGGAACACACTTTATGAGGAAAACTCTCCTTCCTAGGCTTCATGCCCTGGCACAAGAAAGTAGATAGTACCTTAAAATGGCTTGATACCACCCACCATTCCTAGAGCACTAGTAAATATCCCTAGCAGTTGCCTATCTTGGCGAGCATGGATGGCTAATTGACCAGTACTGCCCTGTCACAGCAGCAGCAGCAACTACTGGTGGGGCAACAACAACAGCAATAATCCTACCAGCCAACAATTAGATCATGGTCCAAATCCTAAACAGTAAAGAAGTAGAAGTGACATACACTACTTCCACCTCCTGATGCATGAGGCTCAACCATTGAATCCCCCTTAATCAATGACAGAGATCTCTCAAGACTCAATTTGTGAGAATCACTGAACTCCCATTATGTGCGGGTTAATATTACTTGAATAACACCTCACTCTGAGGTAAAATTTGTTTGAATAAAGTCGCAAGCAGGTTTAGGACTTCTCATAAGGTCTGAAATCTGGCTCCATATGAGCAAACAGCTCTTACTACTCTGGGGCTTGTCGGATGGCAGACCTCGCTCTGTGTGCCTAATTGAGCAAATAATTTTTCACTGATGCTCCCCGCTTATTAAACAATGAACAATTGTTCTCATTGGCCGGGCTACTGCAGTGAAGCACTGGTAGTGAACACACAAAGACTGGAGCGAGGGCTCAACAGCCAACAACTAGTCCCAATGACAAAGATGATCAATACTGCCCAGTATCCTACAGAGTACAAATACGCACCTAGTCCCAATGACAAAGAGGTCAAGATGGGGGACTAGGTGATGACTCGGCTTATATATACTACTTGGCATGTGACCTATGATGTCGTGACCTGTATCGTATGGAAACTAATAGAACATAGTGGAAAAGGATAGAACACAGTGGAATAGAAGTAAAGGATAAGATCCAGGGATGAAATAAGGATGATGTCATGTATCATAGTG